TGAGTTTTGCCAAAAATTAATGTTTTCCAGCATCTTTAATTTCAACACCTTCAGCTAAAATGTGTGTCTTTGGATAATGATCACTAAATCCCGACTTCACTCCCCTTCTGGTAGCAGTCAGCATTCCTTTATAGAGTTTCGCTTCCATCAGTAAATTACTTTCCAAAAATAAAATATAGAAGAGTACAAACTACAAACGTGCATACAGTAGTCATGGACTTATACCAGAGTTGGTCTTTGTAGCGCATTGTTCTCAATTTTCCCGCAGAAGGAAAGCGCCTCTTAATGAATTGCTCGGACAGCTTCCCCTGGGAATGCCCAGCCCCGCTGCTTCCCTGACGTGCTGGAAGCTCCCAGCACCCAGGGCTCGGCCCCTGCAATGACGAGCCGTGCAAAAAGCGCCTACACCGCCATCCACTGGCCCCGAACGGGTGGCACCAGGAGTGAGGCGCCCGCCACCGGAGATGGGGAAGAGTCTGCAGGATCCGGCACGAAACCACCTTCCTCCTGTCCTCTCAGCCCTCAGTCTCTGCCGCACAGAGCGGTCACCAGCCCCCGGCTACACCTGGCCGGGACCCTCCTGACACCAAAGGAGAAGAAGGGCAGCCGCAAATTAGAACCGGTTCTAGGGGCTCGGGCCGGTGAGGATCGTCCGTGGGTACTCCTCACTAGCTTACCTCTCCGGAACCCGGTGCAACGCTGTCCCTCCCCCGGACAGGATCGGAGCCGGCCAAACCCAGGGCGGCTCCGAACCTGCGCCCCCCGGCGGCCGGCAGCAGGAGAGCCTAGGCAGGTATGCACCCGAGACAAAGTTTGCACTCGGGGGACGCAGGAGGTCCAGCACACTGCAAGGGGGACCGGTTCTGGGATGCTAACGCCCAGAATGGTCCAGTGATCTGGACACAAGCTGGTTGCAGAGGAATCGAGCGCCAGTCCTGGCCCTGAGAGGGACAAGACCGAGGCGAGAGCAACGGGGATAGGAAGCTTACATCTGGGGCAGGCAAGGCTGCTGCGCAGTCCTTCCAGATGCCCGGGGTCTGCGACGCTGGCGCAGAGAGGAAGCCGAGGGTCCCCGAGGGGCTGCTTCCGACGGCGCCTTCTGCAGCCTCCCCAGGCGCCCGCGTGCCGCAGAGTCCACCTGATGCGTGCAAGGCGCCGGGTGGAGAAGGGACTCTGCAGATTCGGCATCGCCCCTGCCAAGGAGAGCGGGGTCCCTGGACCGACCTGACTCGAACGTTGAAGAAAACCCTTCTCATGATGGTGGGCGACTGGGGTGGAGGACTGTGCACCCGGGGACTGATTGCAGGACTCCGAGCGAGGGGCTGGGAAAGCCAAAGCTCACGGACGGCGGGAAAAGAAAGTGGCACCCAAGGGGAGGAGGGGCGGGAGGGGCTGACCCTGAATTCATCGGGACTGAGAGGTCATCCGACCTGCTTGTCGGCAGAGCACGCAGTTCGTGGATCTTACCGGCTCCGGGGCCCTGGCTCGGCGGTAGCGCTCGTCCGGAGCGAGGGCAGGGGACCGTTTCATGTAGAACATGTCTCGCCTTTTCCTCTCTCCACTCTTATCTTGGTAGCTTTTCTCTCCCCTACGTGCGCCTCGGAGAAGCACTACAGATGCCTTGTTCCTCAGTCAGGAACAGACAAGTTGAACTTCAAGGGACCAGGAGCCCCATATTTTGTCTGTTCGATAGATCCCACCCGCGGACCACTCCCTCCCTTCACTCCCGTCCCTGGGCCCCACCCATAAGAACCCTTAATGACAGATCCCCTGCAACCCCACCTCTTCGCATTCAAAAAAGTTATTCTTCATGGGCAGACACGAAGCCAAGCGAATGCTGGTTCCCCCGCCCCCACCCCACACACACCTCAAACTTTTACCCGATGATGGCAGCACGAAAAGGACGAGACCTGAAAGTTTGGCTGTAGGAGACGAAGAAATTGGGAGCAAAGAAGTTATTTCTGGACTTTCCAAAACCTCCTTATCACATCCTAAACTTTTTTCTTTTAGCCAGAGCTAGCTAACTAAGTAAAAATCAAAACAACCGCACTCACTGGAAATTAGAGGCCAAGTTTGTTATCTCAGGAAAGATTTAACGTTTCTAGGGCGAGCATTATTTGCATTAAGCAAATGGAAACTTGCTTTATATTATATGTTTAGTGAAGAAACTGCTTTTGCAAGACTGCCTGAGACTTTGCTGAGGCTTCAGGGAGCGGGAGAACCCCAGCCTACTTCCATAAACCTGGTTCGCGATTTCCTGCGGAGGATATCCGCAGGCTGAACCTTAGGGACCAACACCTCTGACTTTCTGAGTTCACTAGCAGCCACTCTTCCTCAGGCAGCGTCAAGGAATGCACTGCGGGCACTTACAACGACAAAGATTACTTTTTCGTTTGAAGCCCAAGTTGTCAAATGTTTGGCAGGGGGGCGGGGGGAAGAACTATTTTGCCTTTTTCTTAAAAATGTGTTTTTATCCAACCTCAGTCAGGATGTAATGGAAATTTCAAAAATTCCTCGAGGTTATTGAGTAAATCCATTTCTATTATTCTGGAGGAGGCCATACATAGCCCGCAAAATATGTATCTGGCACCTACCTATTCCTCGAATATTATAGCTGGGGGTGGGGGAGTTATAATTTGTAAAATTTTGTTTCTGAAATAAGTAGAAAATATTGCACGTGCATATAGCACAACAGTTGAAACACTGATTTCATTAGTGTTCCAAATGTCAGATTTGGAATCCAGGATCTGAAAATTTTTTCATAATTCACAAAAATTTACTCAGTATTGGCCGGCTTTGTACTAAACATTTAACATACATCTTTCAGTTCTAGCACTTCATGAAATAGGTACTATTATTATTTTAGAGAAGAGAAAGATTTAGAGAATCAAAGCAAGCAGCCTAAGTTTACACAGCTAGCAAGTGCTGAGCTGGGGTTCTCCAGAGGTAATGTCATTTCAGGACTGTATTCTTCTGATCAAGATACTGCCTTATCACACGTCATCACCGCAGGGACACCAGCCTGAGAATATCAAGAGCCTATGCAATTTATCTGCCAGCTATACCTTTCAGGGCCTACAGTTAACTCAGTTTACAAAATGAGAGTTGGATTCAATCCTCGAGGCCTTCTGAAGCCAAAAATAAATCTCTTTTACCTCCTTTCTCTTCCACATTCTGCCCTCTGGTGGAGGTGCTACAGGAGTTATAAAATTAAAGTAGCTAAATTGGTGACTTGGAGAAAGCCGGGGGAGGTAAGTCTCCCTTTCTCTTCCACTACTGTGTTCTTTTGAGAACTAAAGCTGATTGAATAATGGTGTAAAATAAGCATTCCTTAAACTTTCTTTTAGCAAGAAAACCCAACCAGTTCTAGTTACCAATGGCACCAAATACTTGAGATATTCTTTGCATGAGGGTAAACAGCTTTTTATGTTCTTTGTATCAGCCTTTATAATGTAAGAAATAAAAATGTTATGTCTCACAATTTGAACATGCAGAGAAATCACAGTAATCTCCAATGACCTATTTGAATTATTCCTTTAAAAATTTTGTCACACTTACTAACTCAGTGACAACCATCAGTTTCTTAAAATGCTTTAACTTTACAGAAAGAAACATTCCTAGCCTTTTGAAATTTTCATCATTTAGCATTTAAAGCATATATCCAACTAATTAGATGATTTAAAAAACACGAACCTTAAAGAGGATTTGTGGAAAAATTAATTTAAAGGTAGTTAATGTACCTCTGAAAAGGTTGATTTTATGTATCAAACTTTAGTCACATATCATATCACAGACCAATTCAGTGCTTAGTACTAGAAATAAAGGCAATTTGAAAATAAGAAAGCTAGCTAGCTTACAGAAGCAGCCAGAATAACAGGCAAGCAGTAGCTAAAACGGATATGCTATCCCATGGCTTATTTAGTTAGTTACTTATTCCAGTAATACTTAGGATTTGCTAACTCTCAGATGAAGAAAATAGAGTTCTTGCCCTCATAGAACTTTGTCTAATGGAATACATACATTAAACAAACACACAAATAAACTATGGAAAAATACTTGCAAATAATGTGGGACTGGCTTTAGAGAGTTAGAATGCGATATTTTTAGCTAATATCTGAAGATGCAAAGCCTTTAAAGTAAAAAAAAAAAAAATTAAAGAATAGACTTGACATTTACTTGTTGCAGGGAGAGGAATTTAATTAGATGGGGAAAACAACATAATATCTGAAGTAATGTATTCTAGCACGCTGAAACATTCTGTAGATCACAAAACTAGCCCGTGTAGACATTCTGTTGGCTGAATGTAATATTTTGGGGACATCAATGCCCTACTCTAATATACCAGTCATTGGGAAGGAAGTAATTAGAACTGGCCCATAAAAAGTTTCTGAGGAACTATATTTTTAGCATCCTCACACACCTAGAGCTAGTTTTCCCCACCACTAGGGCCCCATGCTGCAATCTGACTACCCCAACGTTCCTACCATTGGCCAGCATCCTGCCTCATCGTCCCAGGAACAGGACAATGACAATATGAGCGAAACGTGAGGTGCCTCAGTTCACAATAATTTTTTCCTGATTTGTGAATTGATCTGTCAGAGAAGTCTTGGAGTTATGAGATTGTCACATTTATCTATATTATTATAGCTTAGAATTTCTAAGCACTGTGTGCCAGGCACTTTACAAAGCAACATTATTTTCTTAGTTTTTCATTCTTGAAACAAATCTAGTTTCCTTTGTTATAAAATGAGAATAGTAATGAACCTACCTCATAGGCTGTTATGGGGATTAAAATGTAAAGTGCTTTAAAATAGCTGCAGACACATAATCATAGATAATACTTATTGGTACTTATTTCTTCTTGTTACTACTTTACAGAAGAGGGAGAAACTGAGGCTCACAGAAGTTAAATAATTGCCCAAGATCTCACAGCTAGGAAATAGCAGAACCTGAATTGGAGTGTAAGCAATCTGGACCTAGGCTGACCTCTTAACCCCTACCTTCTGTATGTAGCACAGTTGTTGAGACAGTAATGAAAAAATGCCCAAGGTTTACAGCCTAGAATTATACTATAAATTCATTTATTCACCCATCATAAATTTATTGAGCACAGCAGTGGGTTGACTAGTGCCCCTCCCCAAATTTGAGGTCCACCTGGAACCTAAGAATGTAACCTTTATTTGAAAATAGGCTCTTTTTAGATGTAATTAGTTAAAATGAGATTATATTGGAAGAGGATGAGCCCTAAGTACAGAGAGTATCTTTATAAGAGACAGGAAAGGACAGAGACATGTGAAAATGGAGGCAAGATTGGAGTCATGTGTCTACAAGCCAAGAAACTCCAAAGACTGATGCCCACGACCAGAAGCTAGGAGAGAGGCATGGAACAGTTACTCCCTCAGAGACTCCAGAAAGAACCGATCCTGCTGACATTTGATTTTGGACTGCTGACCTCCTGAACTGTGAGAGAATACATTTCTGTTGTTTCAAGCCACTTTGTAGTAATTTGCTTCTACTGTGTGGCTAGGCAAGGTTCCCCACTCTGGAGTAACAGCAGTAAACAAAACTGAACCCTTGCCCTCATAGAGCTTACAGTAAAAGAGACAGACAATAAATAAATGCATAATACAAGGACAAGTACTATTTAGTGCTATGAAGAAAAAATATTGTAAGATAGAGAATGGCCAGATGATACTCTCTTCTAAAGAATTCTTCACAGCACCTTTAAATACATGCCCCAACATTAATTGGAAAGAAAACTTAGCAAGAACAGCAGCTCAGCAAATAACAGAACTAAACTTGCTCAATGGACCAAGACTTAAAATATACAAAAACGGTTTCCCAGATGGACACCTATTTTCTATTGTCCCTTAAGAGTTTCTGGAGAGCAGAGGGGCTCCCAGCTCCTTCCATTCTTTTCAAATTTACATCTCTTCAAGAAGGTAGTAACCAGTTTTCTGCTTCTTCCTTTCTCTCTGAAGTTCATCAACCTGATAGGTAGACCCTAAGGCCCAAGGTTTATGGTGGTCTAATCTGCACTCAATAAAGAAGGCAACTTCCACAGACTGGAGAAGAGCCATAGTTACATCAACTCTAGCTCCAAAGAGCTTAGGCATCTGTCTTGTTTTCCAAGACCCAAGGAAGGGCAAACATAACTGGAGGGGTCACCTGCATCATTTGAAATAACTTGAAGAGCCAAAAAATTCTTAAAGGCCATCTTTAAACACTACCACAGATACTTATCTGTTTAAAATCTTTAATATTCATAACCATGAAGTTCAAGCATCAGACTTCTTTGCAAAAAGCAAACCTTTTCAATGCTTGCTTCAATAAACTTCATTTGACAATTTCAGCTAAGGTTATAGCCAATCATTTGAGATTATTTTAATTTAGACTTGAATAGTAAAATTAATTAAAATATAAACAATAAGTGTTGGCCTATCCCTAAGTGTTTAAACTGGAAAACTTCAACGGTTTCAATATAAATGTTCCATAAATTTCAAATAGTAAGCTAATAAACTTTTATGATGACAAAAATAAAGAAAGGCCATCACAGTCACAATTTTATCTGTCATTTTTAGTGGCTATTTGATAACTTTTTCCATGTCTCCTGTAATTGGCTCAGATTGAAGCAAAAAGGACATGTACTGCTTTATTTCTCTCAGAACAAATTATTGTACTTACACCAAATTTAACTTCATTTTGCCCTTAAAGAACTTATTTCAGTCATTCTCCTTCTGCTCATCATGCAGTGATTTTTGCAGCATCCTCACGCCACTCATTCTGGGCAATGGGGAACCATGGGAACTGGATCACTCTTTGAATTTGTGCATCACCAGTACCTCCAGCCTGGGCTACCTCCCAACTCCTCTCTCCCCCTGCTTTTACCCCTGCTCCCTTAGTCTTTTCTTCACCCAGCAGCCAGTAATCTTTAAAAAACAAAAACAACTATTCCCCACTTAAAACTGGAGGTGCTACCACTGTGACTAGAATAAAACCCCAGTTCCTTATCGCAGTCTATCAAACACCGTATTAATTGACCCTCGACTTTCTTCCTTTTATTTATTGGGCTCCAGCCCTTTCTGTTCCTCAGCCATGCCAAGCATCTCTCCAACTTAAGGTCTTTGTACTTGCTGCTTTTTCTCCCTCATAGACTTTCCCTTCAGATCTCTAAGCGAAAGTCATTCGGGTCATAGCTCAAATGACCCCATCTCAGAGGGACTCTCCCAGTGTAAAGTAGCAAGTGCCATTTCACTCCCACTTTTACCACTTTCTGTACTATTCCTCTTATTTTTTAGTAACACTATTACACATAAAATCATGTTCATTTTTTTTCTCTTCTACTCTCCT